CCTTCGGAGGAGGTTGAGGGTGGGGGTGGGCGGGGAAAGGGGACAGTCTACCAGTGCCGGTATCCGGCCATGCCGCGGTGTCTGACCGCGCGTGTGGCGCCGCCGGCACCAGCCTGGTCTGTGCCTACAGTGAGCCGCGCTGACGGATGTGCCGCCTGCGCCAGGTGCAGCCGCGGTCGGCGCCGTCCGCCTCGTTCCAGACGAGTCAGAAGGCGCGCGACTGGTCGGTGCTGGACCTGGGAGACGCGTTCAGTCAGCCGGCGCCGCCGCCGCCGCCGGCGCCGGCACTGGCGCCAGCTCAGCAGGTGAACGGTCGGGTCTGACTGTCCCGACGCTTTGGCCCGTCCGTGCTTCAGCACGTGCCATGTCGGAGCGGCGGCGACGCATGCCCGAGCGTGGTGAAATGGTCTGGTTGTAGGAAGGTGTACCGGAACATGTCGCCCCGCGATTTTAATTGTGTTTGTCATCTGTCATAGAGGACAGACTCTCGGTAAAGGCTGTATTCGAGAGCAGACATAGAGACAGACTCTCGGTATAGACTGTATTCGAGGGCATCAGCTGACCGGTCACGTATCGCACATTTAACACCGGCCAATAGCGCGACGCCACGTCGCGAAGAGGCGGTCCTCATACCACAGCCCATTTTTTCGTGCGCCGACAGCGCAGCGCTTGTGAACTGTCAGTCCTGGCCCGCTTCTCTCCCTGACGCGTCTTCCTCCCCTGACACGTCTCCCCTCCCTGGCCCGCTTCTCTCCCTAAAGCGTGTTCCCTCCCCGACACGGCTCCCCTCCCTGGCCCTGCTTCTCTATCTGGCACATCTTCCCTCCCTGACACGTCTCCCCTCCCTGACACGTATTCCCTTCCTGGAACGTCTTCCCTCCTTGACACGTCTTCCCTCCCTGACACGTCTCCCCTCCCTGACACGTCTTCCCTCCCTGACACATCTTTCCTCCCTGGCACGTCTTCTCTTCCTGACACGTCTTTTCTCCCTGGCACGTCTTTCTTTCTCTTTCAGCGCGCGCTGCTGGACGACGACGACGACTTTGACGACTTCCAGAGCTGTCCGCCGGCGCCGGCGCCGGCACCGGGCTTCGGCGGGTCGGCACCGGCCATGCAAGGCCTGCTGCCCCCTCTGTCGGCGCCGGCGCCGGCTAACGGCCTGCTACCGCCTCTGTCGGCGCCGGCGCCGGCCAACGGCCTGCCGTCAGGCGCGCCGCCCACCGGCGGCTCGGCCCGCCTGCTGAACGGACTCTGCCTCGGACCGGCCGAGCCGCCGGCGCCCGGGACGTCCTCCGGCCGCGCTGTGACGGTGAACGGTACCGCGGCGCCGTGCGGCCGGCCCGGCGAGCCCGGCGGCTGGGACCCGGCGTCGGCGCCACCCCCGGCCGCCGGCTACACGCCCGTGCCGGCCGTGCTGCCCGCCGCCAAGCCGACGCGCTTCCGCGAGGGTTTGGTGTCGCGGCCGGCGGAGCGACGCGACCGACCGCCGCCGGGGTCGGGGCCGATGCCCGGCCGCCTGCCCACGGTCGACGACTCGCCGCCGGCCGCCGACGACCCGTACGGCGCGCTGCGGCACCTCGCGGCCGCGCCCGGCGACCTGCTCACCGCGCCACCTGCCGGCCTGGCCGGCTTCGCTGCGCCGCCCGCCGACCTGGCCGGCTTCGCTGCGCCGCCCGCCGACCTGGCCGGTTTTGCTGCGCCGCCCGTCGACCTGACGGCGCCGTCGCTCCTACAGCCGGCGCCGCCGCTCCTCCCAGTCGCTCCTGCGGTCCTCCCAGCGGCTGCTCCGGTCCTCCCGCCGCCGTCGTCGCTAGTCCCGCCCGCGGTGTTCGTGCGGCCCGTTCCGCAGCCGGTGATATCACCGGCGCTCGGGCCGGGTCTGGTCGAGGACGAGGACTTCGGCGAGTTCGTGTCGCCGGCGCCGGCGGCCGGTGACGAGCCGGCCGACGAGGAGACGCTGACGCCGGGCGTCCGGCACGGCTCGCTGCCCAGCTTGGACCTGCAGGCGGCGGCAGCCTGCGAGGGTGGCGAGGTGTCCCCGCTGGAGCCGGACCGGCCGCCCGCCTCGGCCGGCGCCGACAAGTACGACAGGATCCGGCAGGAGATGGTCAGTCGAGTGACGTGGGAGGGAGGGAGGGGGGACAGGTCGGGTGATGTGGGATGGAGGGAAGGACAGAGAGACAGGGGGAGTATGGCTGACTGAGATGACTGTCCGGCGGAGTATGCCTGTGACGCATGAGCTGAAACGCATTAAACATTGGCGTCATTGTCGTTGTGTGAATTGCACAACGCTGGTGGCGTTTGTCGTATGTGTCCGGACAGACTACACGATCTCGAGCACCGCGCCCTGTCACACTGAGGGCCCGCTGTAGCGGACAAGGCCGCCGCCTCATCGAACGCTGCGGCGTGAGTCTCGCCGCGCGCCGCGAGAGCCTGACGGCGTGTCCTGACGCCGCCCGCGCGCCGCCGCAGGAGAGCGCCGCGCCGTCCGGCGAGTCTCTGCTGGTGGCCGAGTGGCGGCGCTGCCTGCAGGCGTGCTACGAGCTGATCCAGGAGGGCGTGACGCTGCTCGGCTCGGTGCCGAGCAGCCGCGCCTGTCAGCAGGTGGTCCGCTCACCGCAGGGCGCCAACTATGTGGACAGTGAGTGGACCGCGCCGCGGGGCATCCGCCGCTGTCGACTCACTCGGTCTTCGCGGCGGGCTATTTTTCTCTCGCGCAGCTATGCCAGGTTTTTCGTGCCGTCGAACTGCTTGTCCCGTGCTTGGAGTTTCGGTGTGGGGTCTTTGCGGTTGCAGAAATGTGCTCCGAACTGAGGTGTAGCCCAGACGTTGTTTCTCTTGAGAGGCAATGCGGAGCTGAGTGTGTTCGGCGTTCGCTGTGCGCCGGCCGCCGGGCACGCAGTGACCCGGCGACGTCGTCGGCAGACCTGGGCCGGGTGTACCGGGTGGTGGACCGGATCCAGAACTCGTGCGCGCGCCACGGCTGCCGCCATCAGCTGGAGCTCATCCTCAGCGAGACGTGCAAGGCCTGGGCCAACCTGACGGCGTTCGTGGCCAACTCGCCGACCCGGGTACGTGTCGTCCGCTCCCGGCGGCGGCGGTGGCGACGGCGGTGGGCGAGAGAGACGTCTGGAATCGGGGCGCGCCCGCTGACGCGGAGTGTGGCGGCGGCTGCGCCTGAACGTCGTGACGGCGCCCGGGCATTGGAGGACGGTCTTTACTGGAGGGGCGGGGGAGGGGAGGGGCTTTGGAAAAAGTCCAGCTTCCTTCCCGCGTTGTACTCATGGACAGATTGTGAAGTTGCTCTTGACTCATCGTCCGGTGCCGGTTCAATGGCCGACCACCCGCCTGAGCAAACTCGGCCACTTTTTAGCACAGTTCCAGCCGCTGCGTGACAGCGCAGTCTGTGAAGTCGCATTCTGGGCGGCCCGCCCGGGTGCTCACTTGCGGACCTGTCTGACCTCTGCTGACCTGCTCACCTGCCCCTGCCGGCAGCAGGCCGTCGGGCCGGACTGGTCGGCGGCGGCGCCGGAGCCGGGGCCGGGGCCGGCCGGCGCCGCCTGTGGGGTCTGCTTGCTGCCGAGCGAGCCGGCGGCCGACGGCGAGGTGACGCTCTCCTGTGCCGGACGCGCCTACCACGCCGCCTGCGCCAACCTTTGGATCAACAGAGTGGGCGGCGTGCTGCCCGCGCTGCGGCCCTAGCCGGCGCCGCGGCCCCAGCCGGCGCTGCGGCCCCAGCGGCGCTGCGGCGGGGCCAGCCCGCTGCCGCCATGGCGCTGATTCTAGTCAATGAGGGCGGCCGCCGGGCCGTCAGCGCGCCTTTCGTGCCAACTGAAGCTGCCGTTGGGCGCAGCCAGCTGATCGGTGACGCCGCGCGGTCGGCGCACGTGCGGGCGCGGGGCGTGGCGCTCCGGCGCCGTCTGACGAGGGCGGGGCGGACCCCGGTCAGACGCCGCCCTCCGTCGGCGGGGAAGGCGAGCGTGCTGGGTGGCCGGGCTGGGGCAAACTGTTGCCAGATACGTTTTATACCCTTGTGTCACTTCAGGATCTGTGGAGATTGTTTATGGCCATGCTGTTTGTGGCCGCTGGGCCCGGCGGGGCCGGTTTGGACCGGGTGTTACGCTGTCTACTTCTGGTGCTGCGGTAGGGAACACGGCCGGCTGGGTGGCCGAGTGTGTGCAGCCGTCGCTGCCGTCCTGATTACCAATGAAATACACGCATATGGTCTGGTGCTGCGCGGCGTTGTCGGACCCGGGGTCCGCTGTCTCCTCGGACTGGTCTGTCTCCTCCGATGGTCTTTATTCTCAACAGCGCCTCGACTGCTGTGGTCAGTTCGCGCCGGTCTTCTCAAACACCAACAGGAGAGACTGGCCTGTTACCAATTTACCAGAAACTACACTTAGCACGGGAAGACCGACATGCGCGGTGCCTGCGCAGCTCTCCTCTGATGGTTTTTATTCTCAACAGCGCCTCGACTGCTGTGGTCATATCGCGCTGGTCCGTTCTCAACATCGATAACAGAAGAAACTGGCCTGTTACCGCTTTTGCAGAAACTACGCTTGGCACGGGAATACCGGCAGGCGCGATACTGTCGCGGCTCAAATTTGTTACCGGAGACTTCTGGTTTGTCAGCTGTCCGATAAGGGTAATCTAATGCTTTACCACTCTTTACAGCATTATCCGCAACATAGACGCGCAGCACTCTCCCGCGCGATTGCCAGCTGTCCGATAGGGAAAATCTAAGTGGTTTACCATTCTTTACCGCATGTTCAAATTGCAGTATTGTCCACGCTACAGACGTGCAGCACTCTCCCCCCCATGTCCAGGCCCTGCCACCTGGCCACGTCCGGGCATCCCGCGTTCACCTGAAACACAGCCGCCCGGGGAAAATAGGTAGTATTCACTGGAAAATGCCCGGCGTCACAGTGAGTGTCTCGGGATGGCGCCGCGTCCCGGCGCGGGCCGGGCGTCACGGCGGTCGGCCGCCGGTCCGGAAGGGGCGCGGGCCGCCGGCGGCCGCCGCTCCGCGCCCCGCCCGGCCGGCCCGGGCCTGTACGTATTGCTCCGCGGCGCGGACCGGCCCTGCGCGCCTGTTTTGATTTGTACCGGGCACGTGGCGGCGGCGCGCGCCGGCCGACTCCGCGCGGCCGCCGCGGTGGAGCCCGAGGCCGCGGGCGCGCAGAGCGGGCGCCCAAGCTCAACACCGAGCCACAGCGGCTGAATGAAAATGAATGCATAACAGTGCTTCAGTGATGCTCCTCCCCTGAGTTACACAAACACGGCTGCTGGGTGAGCGCGGCGCACTGCGCTCGTCGTTACAAAGACAGGTAGATTCACCCAGCGCAAGGGCAGACTGAACCAACGGAATGAACACAGAAGGGGCCGGGCGGTCCGAACGGCACCCAGCGGCGGGGCAGCCGAAGCGGGCCTGGTGCAATTTGCGGTCACCGGGGGACGACAGCAATATATGGGACGCTCACAATGTGCTGACAACACGCACGTACGTCTGTTCGACACGATTAACTTCTCGCTCGTCACGCGGCGACGGGGCAACGGTGTGGCCAATCAAACGCAGGGTTGGGGCCGGTGTCCGGAGGTGAACAGAGGCGCATCGGCGTATGGACCACGTGTCCACGTGGACACTCACGTCAACTAATGTAAAACGCAGTCGAGACAACGACTCACTGATATCTCTTCGCGAGCGAAACAAATGGCACCAGCACATGAAAACATAGCCTGCACACAAATTCGATGCTTGTCTAACTAGCACCCTGAAATAATGACTTAGATCACGTGAAACAAACACTAAGCGAATGCAATTTGGGATAAAAGGCTATCAAACCAGTCTCTGACACAGCAACAATAAAAACCAGCGGCACCCGAAGTGACAATACTGGCCAGACAACAGGTAATAGCGTACACATTATTTCCCCACACTTCCGGTTGTCACACGCTACACAAGCGTCGTACTCGTCTGTCGTCGATCGGCGACCACTACACAGCTAAAATATCGCGGATAAAGCGCTTGCCAGCCCGCTTATCTGCCTCGTCGACGGAGGTAAGCTGGGCATGAACGGGGTACGTGAGGGCTGCTAGGCCGCCGCCGCGCCACAAATACTGTATTAAAGCGGGCAGGCGGCGCAGCGACCACGCCTCCCCGTCCCAGGAGAGGGAGGGGGCGACGCTGACCGCAGCGGCTCCGCATCAGGCGGCTGCCGTCCCGCGGCGGCGGCCCTCGTCTCGGACCGCTCATCTCGCTGCCCCGCCTCGGGCGGAGGCGACCGAGCGGGAGCTCGCCGGCGCCGGGCCGCGCGACGAGAACGGACACCGCCGGGGCCGCCAGATCTGGACACCAACAGGACCGGCGGCGGAGGCCAGAGTAAGGGCGCGTCCGCCGCGCGTTTGAACACTGACAAATGCCCCGTCGGTTCTCACACCAACGAGAAAGCGTATTGATCCAGCCGACGCCGGCGCCCCGGACCGGCACTCCATCGTTTGCCAGCGTGGCGCCGCACGGCCGGCCGGTGGTGAGCGCCGTGGCGACGGCGCGCCGGTCCGGGCGGCGCCGGGCGCCGGCCGAGGAGCGGCGCGACGCGGCGCGGACGCGGACCGCGCCGCTCGCGAACATGCTCAGACTGCTGGCCGCGGGACCTGACGGGTGGGACGGCGACTCCGCGCCGGCGGCGCCATCTGTTGCGCGCGCGTGGGACTGTTATCTGTTGACCCTGCCGCGCGGCGCCAGCTTGCGTCGGCTGAAGAGGCCGTCGCCGACGGAGGGCTGCTGCAGCAGCGGCGCCGGCGCTGACGTCACGCATGACGTAGCCGGGAACGAAGTGGCCCGCTTGGCCGACCTGAAGGGCGGGGGAGGGGTCACACGGAGGCCGGCTGCAGGCCACTCACTAACTCACAACCGTGTCGGCGTCCTGAGCGATACGAAGCTCCGCAGAAACGACTGGCGATACCACTGAACCAATGCACCGGCACAGGCTTACATCAGCACTGGGGTGATGGTCCAATTTACTGTAGTGAGCTCCACAAAACTAACGGACATCAGCAGTGAGTTCGAAAGGCAGCAGCATATCAGCCACGCCGTTTCCCGGGGTGACACATACGGATAATACAAAAAGGCAGCCTTGCGTGGCCGCATGCGGCCTAAGAACAGCGACCACGCCAGCGATCGAACGCAGACGAGACCACCAACAAAACCCGAAACAGTATCAGGAGCCGCAAACTGGCTCGGCAGCTGCCAGGCGTGTGCGCCAACAAAAACCAACCAAAAGAAGCGGCCGCGGGGCATCGGCGGGGTAGGTAGAGCGCGCCGCCGGCCGACCGGCTCGGGCGGCGGCCACGTGGGCCAGTGCTCCAGAGTCCTGCGGGACAGGGCGGGCGCGCCCGTCACTGGCTCGGCCCTCGCGCAGCCGGCGGCAGACCCGGCCAAGACCAAGCTAGCGGCGCCCGACGCACAATACCGGCGGCCAATGGCAGGCTCATGCGGGCGGGGCGGGGGCGGGGGCGGGGGCGGGGGCGGGGGCGGAGGCGGGGGCGGGGGCGGGGGCGGAGGCGGAGGCGGGGGCGGGGCGGGAGCGGGAGCGGGGGCGGGAGCGGGAGCGGGAGCGGGAGCGGGAGCGGGAGCGGGAGCGGGAGCGGGGGCGGGGGCAGGGGCGGGGGCGGGAGTGGGAGCGGAAGGGGAGCGGCGAATAGGGCTGGAAGAGGAGAGGACGCGTCTGAAAGGTGGGGCAAGCGGCAGGCCCTGCGCTCCTGACAACGCGGGTAAACACACAGCTCAGATCACGTGCTGCGTCAAAAAAACCTACGGAACTGCATGCTGAACACAATGGAAGCTGTACGGGTGAGATGCAGGCTGATACAGAGCAGGACCTCCCTGAGATCAGCACCCACGGCAGGGTCTGGGCAAAATATCAGCGCCGTTACTGCCATACGAGCTGTACCACGCCGTGCCCCAAAATTATCCGTGGTCACCGACTCTTAACCGTTTCCACAGATAAATAAGCAGCGGGCCAAGAAACATCCGATGTATCCGACCCGGCTTGCATGCGCCGACCGGCGGCAGCCGGAGAGCAGCAGCCGGCGCGCGCGCGCGGGTCGGGCCTCACCTGCGCCGGGTGAGCGCCGGGTTCAGCCCGAAGCAGCCGCGGGGCAGCACCATCCGGGCGTTGCCCTTGGCGGCACGACTGCCGCCCACGCTGGTCAGCTCCGCCAGGTGCGCCGCGTAACCTGGAGGAGCAGACACGGCGTGGAGAGACTGACGCAGACTGGTGGTGGACACGGGGACACAAATACCACATGCCGACACGGCGTGGAGAGACTGGCGCAGACCGGTGATGGACACGGGACGCAGAGAACAAGCGCAGACACGGAGTGGGGAGACTGGCGCAGACTGGTGGTGGACAAGGCGACACAGATGTCACACACAGACACGGTGTGGGGAGACTGGCGCACACTGGTGGTGGACACGGGGACACAGATGTCACACACAGACTCGGGACGCTCAGGCGGTACGTCATGTGTGCAGCCAGACTCGCTCCGACTGCCGCCTTACCCGTCAACACAGCTAGCCAGGGAGTCATCACTTCCAAGCAGTGTCGACGGCAACACATGGCCGGTTCGAGCATGACCCACCATTTTTCAGTTGCTCAGCACGAGATGAGTAGCAAGACATTGCATTAGATTGCCACAAAGCCAGATTACTATCTACCTGACAGAAGATGCCAGGCAGCGACAGCCGCTCGTGCCCGTCAGCTGACCGTGACTGGCGTCAGCTGATGCCAGTCAGCTGGCAGCTCAGACCCACCCTCGGTCAGGAAGTTGGCCTGCTGCTTCCTGGAGAACTTGCCGACGATGTAGATCTGCTCCGGCTTGAGGCCGACGCTGCTGTACATGCCGATGTCCTTGCTGCTGCCGTAGCCGGCGTGGATGATCATCCCCGACTCCTGGGGAAGCGGCAGTAAATTCAAGCGGCTGGCGCGGAAGACACTCGGGCGACAGGTCCGTCTGCCGCTGGCCGATGACGGCCCAGTGCTTCATTATTCGGCCGTTTGGGTGGCAGGGATGTCAATATTTTGCATGCTATTTCATCCCAAGATTAGGGTTCGCTGCCTGTTGCCCCTCCCATTGCTCAAGATCGGCCGATCAACACTGAACCAGGTGGCAGTCAACCCAGCATATAAGCGCCTCAGGCTTGTAAAATGGGCCGGGCAGGTCAGATGTTTGTGTTCGGGGTAAAGGGCAACGGATTAACGCCGACAAATCACGTGCGGAGGCCGCCGGTTAGCCAAGATTATGAAAGTATGACGTCATATGTACGCCCACGATAACCTCCCGGATGAACTTTGGAACGTTGTGACTTCCACACGGCCGCCCAGTACGGCCAGGACCGGCGGCTCTGGACCCGGGCCGGTGTCGCGTATGACCTCGCCTGGCCCGTCTGCTGGTTATCAGAGGAGATGCTCCGCCTTGGCACGTCGCCGATGGTCGTAAATGCCCTGCACTCACCGCCGCGAGCAGACGACGGTGACCTCGCCTGAGCCAACACGTGACCTCCGGTGACCCACTAAAGTGCCCTTGACCGCTCCTCGCGTGTGACTTCCGCCAGCCTGCCAGGGCTGTCACTGTCCTCCCAGTCCAGCCTGTTCGCCCCCCCCCCCTCACCAGCCAACCCTGCCAGACCTGCCGCGGTGACCTCAGCTACCCTCCAGCGGCGGGCAGAACTGACCTCCACCAGCTGGCGCAGGTAGTCGGCCTTGTGCTTGAGAGGCTCCGTAGTGAGGCCGTCGGCGAACGAGACCAGGCCGTGCGGGAAGTTGTGCTGCGACAGCCAGGAGAGCACCTTGCGCCGCTGCATGTCGGGTCGCCCGGTCACGTACAGCACCAGGTAGCCGAGCTCCTGCCAGTGTCTGTCGGCACGGCGCGCCGAGGTCACGCGGCGCCAAAACTGACGGGAGGCGTCTCACAGGTCACGCGGGGCACCGGACGGCGCAGCTGCTGTTGGCGCCCCGGCGGCTGGGCGGCCCGGTTCGGCGGACGCCGCCGCTGCCCGCTCGGGACGGCGCACGGACAGCGCCGCCGACAGGTGAAGCGAACGTGGCCGCACGACCGAGAGCGACGGAGAAATGTCACGGATCTCCTGGACAACGCGCCTGGCGCTATCTCCGGACCTGAAGGATACAGCCACGGCCCCGACCGACGAGGAGCAGTCTCGAGCCCTATCCCAGACTAGCAGCACGCACATCCTCAGTACAACGCACCGCCTCGCCCCACCCGCACGCGAAGCCGACCGGTGCTGACGGCGTCAGCGGTGGCGGCAGCGCTCCACTGACCTGACCACGTCGACGGCCGAGGCGCGAACCTTGGGGTCCCGGCCCGTCACCGACATGCTGGCCGTGAAGGAGCCGTCGATGCTGAAGACGACGCACTCGGTCTTGGGCGGCACCACGCACAGCTGGAAGTCGCAGGACGTGTGGTCCCCGCTGCCGGCGGACGGACGCGTCAGGACCGGCGGGGCAAATGCAGGGCGGCGGTCCGGGGGTTTCATGCGCGCAGGATGCTCCGCACTGAGCTCGTCACATCACTGGCCAGGATGTTTGGACGTGGCCGTCCTTCTACGGATTGAGAGGCCCCTCTATGATTACAAACTCTGATACGGCACACTGGATTGAGCACACGGATTGAGACATCCGTCTTTGATTACAGCCTCTGATACAGCACACTGGCTCTTCTCCCGGGCGCAGTGGCGGGATAGCTGTAGCAGCTGGTGCGTCGAAATAGGTCTACTGACTATAAATATCATATAACAGGCCCGCATCTGGTCAGGACGCCGCGCCCAGCAGTGCGGCCCCGCACGAAATCGCGCGCAAAAACGGCGATCACGTTAGGGCTCGCAGTTCGTATCGACAGAACACGCTAACGTCTCACGGGCGATAAATGGCTCCCAAGCCGCATCTTGTGCCTTCGCTGCGTAGCATGGCCAAGCCAGACATACATCAGCGTGAGGTCGGGGAGCGGCGAGGGTTGGTCGGATCAACACCGAGCGGTGGCCCGAGTTAGTTGGTGTCGGCAGCACCCCTCCTGAGCGACAGCGTCACTCAGACATTAGTCACGGCCCGGCCGGGCGCACGACAAACACGGCACCAGAGCCGCAGCCACTTCCCACCGGTAGGCGCCCAGACGAGTCGAGGGGAGCAAAGCCGCAGCGTCGTGAGGTGCTCATCGCGAGACTCTGCACAGAACGAGCATCCACGTCGGGCCTGACTACCGGTGACTTATCAATTATAGCACAGCAAAGCCGCGGCGACGCGTGGTCGTGCCTATCGTGCAGCCCGCCTGCATTCAGATGCAGGTCCATGGGCTCGAGCTTCACACGAAGATGGCTTTTCATTCTTAGTTCCTTCCTGTATAAGACGAACTGCAAACACGCAGGTATTAACAAGTTCACTAGGACTCCGACCCGTTTCATTCAAACAGTACCACATCCTCCACCCCTCACTCGCTCTCCTGATCGGACCCAATCGTTCCGACCGCTCTCAGCGACCGATCCTAGCGGCTCTTCATCCCACCGGAGGCGTGTCCTTTATCCGGCGCGAGCCGATCCTGCCCTCCGTCAGCGGCGCCCGGCCTGATCCTCCCCGCCATCAGCGGCGCCCGGCCCGACCCTCCCCGCCATCAGCGGCGCCCGGCCCGACCCTCCCCGCCGTCAGCGGCGCCCAGCCCGGCCCTCCCCGCCATCAGCGGCGCCCGGCCCGACCCTGCTCGCCGTCAGCGGCGCCTCCCCGCACCACAGCAGCGGTGCCCGGCCACTCACCGGACCACCATCTTGATGGGGTAGAGGCCGAAGCCGAGCGCATGCGCCGGCGCCACCGTGTGACTGACGCGCCCGCTCTTGTCGGACACCTCCGTGGCCAGCAGCGTCCAGTCGCCGCCCGGCGGCTCCGCCATGTAGTAAATGTCCACCTGGAACGGAACGCCACGCCCGAACGTCACGCTTACGTCACAGCCCGTGTCGTGACAGCTGCCGGCGCCACCAGATCTGTTACAGCAGCACGACATCCACCGGCGGACCAGCGCAGCGACGAGACACACTACGGTAGGGCACTTCCGCCACCAGCGAGGTGAGTTCCGGTACACACTCAAGCTCCTTGTTCAGTCGTTAGTCTCAGCCCCACCCTCCACCCTTGCGGTCACACCACTCCCAGCGCCGGCGCCGGCGCGCCCTGCCCGGCCGGGCCACTCACCTTCTCCCCGCTGAGGGAGACCATGTCGAGCGGGCCGTACGTGAAGCGGGCGGCCAGCACCTGCGGCAGGCCCTCCCGCACCACCACGTCGTTGCCGCGGTGGTTGGGCGTCACGTTCTTGATCTTGACCGAGGTGCGCTTGCGGATCCACTTCTCGCGCGGCTGGCCGGGCGCGAACAGCGCGCCACCGGCGTCGCGGCCGTCGGCGGCGGCGCCATGCAAGTCTCCGCCGAGCAGCTGCAGAGGCAGGGGCGGCACGTGAGGACGGGGACGTGCGAGTCCCCACCGAGCAGCTGCAGAGGCAGGGGCGGCACGTGAGGACGTGGACGTGCGAGTCCCCACCGAGCAGCTGCAGAGGCAGGGGCGGCACGTGAGGACGGGGACGTGCGAGTCCCCACCGAGCAGCTGCAGAGGCAGGGGCGGCACGTGAGGACGGGGACGTGCGGGTCCCCACCGAGCAGCTGCAGGGGCAGGGGCGGCACGTGAGGACGGGGACGTGCGGGCCCCCACCGAGCAACTGTCGAGGGAGGGGCGGCACGTGAGGACGGGGACGTGCGGGCCCCCACCGAGCAGCTGCAGAGGCAGGGGCGGCACTTGAGGATGGGGACGTGCGAGCCCTGACCGAGCAACTGCAGCGGCGGCACGGGCGGTAGCTTTCTGATCTGTACCTACACGCATACCAGACGCACATACATCGGCTCCCGCTAAATCAACCGCGTCCCACCGACAAAACACGGTCCGATGTCGCGCCAGGGCTCAGACCATCCGGACTGCGGGCTGCCGCCGGGCGCTGAGGCACACCGCGCCCACGCGTGCGCCCCCGCATGCCGCGGCGCGACTCACAATCCGCGGCGGGTGCTCACATTGCGCAGGATGAAGGCGATGGCGTCCTGGCTTTCCCAGTAGCTGGCGTGGAACAAGTGCGGCAGCACGTGGGCCGGGAAGTTGGCCAGCCCGTCCGGGCAGTAGAGGGCGTAGTCGATGCGCTTGTTGCCCCACCAGCGCTGCATGATGCTGTTGACGGTCTGCAGCTGAGCCGTGCCCATGCCGGACATGGTGGAGACGACGGAGACGGCCGACTCGCGTCGGCAGAAGCCGCGTCGCTCGTCAGTGTAGTCGGCCAGCAGCTCCGGCTGGCTCTGCACGTACTCCACTGGGGGAAGCGCGCCCGCCGGGCCGCGTCAGACGCTGCCGGCCGGATCACGACACACGCACGCACGCACGCACGCACGCACGCACGCAGAGCCAGACGCTTTGGTCACGGGAACAGGACAACCACGGGCTTAATATCCAGAGCGCACGCAAGCTGCCTGCGGACACATCCAGCGGACGAACCCAGCAAATCTTCCCCTGCAAGCGATCCTAGCAAATGAAATCTCCCCAGAATCCCCATCCCAGCCGTAGACCATGAATCTATCTCCCGCAGAGACCGACGACTGCTCCGCGCACAGCCCCTTGAGTCCGTCCCTTCCACAGCACGTGCAGCTCCCCGCCCGGCGCGACTCACGCAGGTGGACGGGCTGGCCGTCGCCGAGCGGGTACTTGTGGTAGCGGCACACGTTGGCCGGCGAGAGCTGCGCGAACCTGGCGCAGATCAGCGGCTCCAGACGGCACGCCACCGGGTTGGTCGGGTGGAACAGGTTGTAGACGTTATGGCAGGCAGGCCGCGGCGGCGCTGCGGCGGAGGCCACGTCCGTCAGCTCGCGGCGGCGGAGGGACGCCGCGGTGCCGACCAGCGGCGCACCTGGCTCGGTATGCGGTTACTGCGGTCATCAGCGTGACGTGCGTCCCTGTCAGCTGTCGCCGTCGGGAAAGACGGCGCCGTGCGTCAGATATGAGTCTGGGTCTCGGGGCTGGAGCTGTCATGCGCCGCCGACCGTCTCGCTCCCTCCCTCCCCCCCCCCCCCCCCCCATCGTCCGCTGGGCAGACCCGTCGGCCGACGTTGTCACGTACGGCGAGCCGGCCGGCGCCTCACCTCGGTTCTCGTCGGGTAGGTACATGCGGCGGGCGGCCAGAACGAGCCCCAGCGGCGTGCCGAACATGAACAGGTCGGTCACCTCGAACTCCAGCCGCCAGTGGCCGTCGCTGCAACGGCACTGGCCGGTCAGCGGGGCGCGGCAGCGGCGGCGCCATGGGGACCCGGCTCAGGCAGTGGTGATGCGTTGGGGCGATAGGCCAGGGGGAGGGGGTCGGAGAAGAGGGCGGCTAGGCTTGGCAGAGACGGTATGCGGGTCAAAAGGCCACGCGTTACGGTGTAAAGCCACGGAATGAGGTGGGAGACACGGAGGCAGAGACTGGCGCCAGAAGAGAGATGAATGGTTAGCACGCAAACACGGCAGGACATCCTGATTCACCGAATAAGGAAGGCCCAATACCAGTGAAATCGGAGGCTCTGACAGGCCTACCGTCAAGAGCAAGACCAGACAACGTGTACGATTTGATACGGTAAGTCCCAAACCAAAAAAGCACAGTCGTTCTAAAAAAAACCCTCCAGAATAACTGCACGGACACAGCAAAAAGGGAACGTAAATCGAAATATTTTTATCTAGAAAGGTGGCACATCCTGGCCGCGTTTTGCACCAGCAGCATCAAGTAGAACTTGTGGACGCCAGACAACGCAGCGTCCATGCCCACTGCGTCGAGGCGGATCTGACCAGAGCTCTGTCAGAGACTGTGCGTGCGCCTCTGACCTGGAGCCGGACGTGCGGCGGCCGGGCGACAGATGGCGGGAGAGCGGCTCGCTGTCAGAGAGTGTCCGGCCGGCGGTAGGCTCGCCCGGCGCGCGCGGTGCATCCGACTTGCAGCGGCGCAGCTCGCGCGAGTGGCTGGTCGAACAGTCCGAGTCTGTCGCGGGGCACGGCCACGGGTCAGGTCGGGTCAGGTCAGGTCGGGTCAGGTCAGGTAAGGGCAGCTCAGGTCAGGCACGGCTGATGGTCGGATGACACGACGAGCCGTGTTTTACAATGCCAATGGAGACCGTCCGACGCAGACACAGAAGACTCCGAGCAGTCCGCATCGTTCTATTGCGCCGGCAATAGCATCACAGAACCTGGGGCTCAGCACACGGCGGTCTTACCGACCATGAAAACGGCCCCAGACGAAAGAACGATACGCGCTACACCGCGGTGCCGCGAGACATGCCCATTACGCATAGTTACGATACACATTAATGCGTGGCCTCCATCATGCCCGGAGCATACACCGCCGACCCAGCAAAACCCTTTTGTGAATGTGTCGCTGGTGAGCGCAGAGGATCGACGCCGGACACCCAGGCTGTGACTTCGCGGTCGATGTGAAAGACGTTCTCCGCTGGTTCAGGTGAACGACAACAAGGACCACACAACAACCCAGTTTTAACTACAACTAGAACATGATTTGTTAACACATAGAAAGCCAGCATGATGCAGATCAACGTCCGGAGCTTTGTTAGTACACAAATAGCGATTAAGTGGGAAGCGGTTAAGTGGCGTATCTCAGGCGAGTGTACAAACCATTGTGTCGCATGGTTTAATACGACTGTTAGTACATGAACATGGAGCGCAGCGCGCACACCACTATCGTTATCCCAGTGAAGTGACAACCGAGCACGACACACACTACCCGAGCCGACAGCAGGCGTCACAGAGCAGCGCCCTCGCCCCAGCGGCCGGCACAGGCGAGGCGCGGGCACACCGAAAGCGGTGCCGGCCGGCCGGCGGGCGGCGGCCGGTGTTTACCGTAGTCGTCGGCGGAGACGGAGCCGGCACTCAGCCACGCCTCGCTACCTTTGGCCGGGGCGGGGGTGAAGGGGCACACACCGGGCGATGGCGGCGGCGCCGACTCCTCCTCGTCGCAGCACGAGCACAGCACGTCATACGCCAGCACCGAGCCCATGGAGTCGGCTGCCGTGGGGAGGAGTGGCTCGTCAGGACAGCGATCACGCAGCGGACGCGGCCGCCCGGCGACATGGTCAGCTCGGTGTCCGCCCGATCTCGTGGTTTATCGCCTGTGCTTTATCTCGCCATGCGACGCTATAGGGGTTGTGATTTCCTCCAATCAGCCCAGTTAATGCGCGAAACTTGATTTCCCACTAGATCTTACAGATAAGAACATATCCCACATCCGCTAGCGGCTGTCACTCGAATTCATGCACATTGGTTACAAGACGACGCTTCGACAAAACAAAAACCAGCACTGACACACGAGCTTCCGTCCTCTCCATACGGCACGCGTCCACCGTCTGTTCACATTCACATGAAATCACCGCCGGAGCCTGTTGGTCACCGCTTCCACCGCGGACGCGAGCTGTCCCCGCGTTCCCCATGCCACCCCTCCTCACCGATGATGGAGACCTGGCCCTGGAAGCCGAGGCCGGCCGGCGAGCGGACAAACTCCTGGAAGACGCGGTTCATCTGGCTGGCGAGCCGCGCCACCGTGTCGTGGTGGTCGGGCGAGCCGGCCGCCAGCAGCGGCACGGCCGCCACCGGCAGCGGGTCGGCCGCCGTCCACGCGTCGCCGCCGGCCGCCGCGCCCGCCGCCGGCACAGACGCGAAGCTGTACGGGCTCAGGCTGCCAAGAGGCGGGCGGCGGCGTGAGGGCGGCGCCCCTGACCGGGACCCGGCCGCGCGCCGGGCACAGGTGGTGTGGGAGGGAGAAGGTCAATGTCGTGGGATCATGGCTGTGAACGGTGGCCGAGCTACATAAAACCCACGTGGGTCTAGTTTCCGCACAACATAACGACTGCTACTCCTTCGCGACTTTTTGTGATTTGGAGATCATACTGAGCAATGCGAAACCGAGGCAAATGTTGCGGGAGGGGGGGGGGGGAGGAAGCATGGCCCCACGACAAACCAGGCTCCACCTACAGCTGTGCGAATAGACGCTACACGCAGCAATGCGCGAGGAATTACTTCTAGAAACCATGGAAATGAAAATGACTCTGTGTGGTCAAAAGGCAATGGAGATGGCGTCGGGTGCTCAAGCAGTCATACAATGGAGCAAACCGATTACTTGAGCACAGTCAAAGGTGATAGCAATGTTTCATGCTGTCAGCTCAGAAAACTGGTGGTTCAAAAATGGATTATTACATCAAACATGTTTCTAAAATCCCGAAGTACATGTGTGGCAATTTTGATCATCCACATCATTAGCAGAAGGTCTCATGATGCTTCACCGCCTGTGACGGTTATCAGTAGGATACCTGAGGAATCAAAGAGAGCCAAAGCTTCACAAAGCTGCTTACAGCCCAAGCCCTCCGCATTAGCAGGCGTATTAGCGCCTGCACCACAGAATACAGAAACCGCGCGCCAAGGCGTAACACCGTCCAGCCACGGCAGAAGAGACCCGCAAACCCCTCCCTAAAGACGCGTCAACAATGTCAGTCCATTCCTTCGCGTGGCACACGAGACAACCATGGCGGTCTGGCTCCCGAGCTGCCGGCTGGTCCGCGGCTCCGCGCGGCGATCGCGCGGGCACGGCCAGACAGACGGCGTTCGCGCACCTTCAGCGGGGTCGTTCGCGGAATGGGGACTGTGAAGCCGCCGCCGCTGTGATCAATACGGCTCGATACTTGCCAGCCGGGCACGGTCCGTGCAAGGCCCCACAGAGCCTCGCGCTGGACAATGGTGACGGCGGGTCAGGGTGGGGGCGGAGTGGCCAGGCCTCCCGCTCCCCAGCACAGAGTGTCCCACCTTGTAAACGGGGAGTGAACACGGCACGGCTCGTCTGGTGCATAGCGATTCGTTACATGCCACCTCACCTGGTGAGCACAGAGAGCGCAGCGTGGCCGTGGCCCGACCCAGCGGCCCTGCTCACCTGGTGAGCACGGAGAGCGCTTCGGCGCAGATGGACGGACAGGGCACCAGCCGGATGCAGAGCCGGCCGAGCAGGGACGGGTAGTGCTGCGTGAGGATCGCCTCCACCGAAGCGCGGAACGTGGTCACGTCGGAGCGCTTGGTGCCGCGATCCACCTGCGCGTCTAGCGAGAACAGACAGCGCCGGTCAGCCTCCTGCCGTGGCCGAAGACTCTGTATTGACCAGACCGGCGTACGCAAGGTACTATGGCCTTTAATGTGGCCATCGGGATGCATGACGAACCAAAGGAAATTACATGATATCTCATGGGAGATGATGTATGGTAGTGCAGGTCATACAACATGCATGAGATACAAACGTGACATCTGTGGGGGAGGTGCGACACACCTGCGACGGAGAGAACGCGTGCAAGCGTCCTGTACAGAACGCTCAGAGACCGTTATAAGCAGCGCGTGTGGCAGACAAGCCGCGGGCGCACCAGGCGGGGGTGCCGCTGCTGCGTGACGGGGCGGGCCGGGCGGAGCACTCACCGAGCACGCTCCCCGAGTGCAGCACCAGCAGCAGGATGTCGCAGCTGCAGGAGCCGCCGGCCGGCGGGGCCGGGACGCCGGTCGTGTGGTCCAGCGACGGTGACGGCTCACCCAGCCGGCCGTTCGGCTGCAGGGGAGCCATGTCTGGGGAGGGCATCGGCACCGTCACACGGGCGTACTCACACCGGCACCGCCACACGGGCGTGCTCACGCCGGCACCGTCACACGGGCGTGCTCACACCAGCACCGTCACACGGGCGTGCTCACGCCGGCACCGTCACCCGGAGCGTGCTCACGCCGGCACCGTCACACGAGCGTGCTCACACCGGGCACCGTCACACGAGCGTGCTCACACCGGTACCGTCACACGGGCGTGCTCACACCGGCACCGTCACCCGGGCGTGCTCACGCCGGCACCGTCACCCGGGCGTGCTCACGCCGGTATCGTCACACGGGCGTGCTCACACCGGCGTCGTCATACGGGCGTGCCCGCATCGCATACGTATGGTCATACGGGCGGCCATACGAACAGTCACACGGACACCACCACGTGAGCACAATGGCCGGGCCGCAGTCACACTGGCACAGACACACAGACGCAGGCATCACCTTCGTCGCCCTCAGAGTAACGACTCGAACCACGATTGCAACCACAGCCGCCGTCGCCGCTGCAGCGGCGGCTCTCGTCAAGGACACGGTCACGACTTTCTACACTGTTACAGTGGACACTGTGACAGTGTAGACTGAACAGCAAACGCTTGAGTCGGCTTGGGCCTCGTGCTGGATCTCTCCGAGCTAAGAGTTTTGCACAGACCTCTTGTCCCAAATATTTCGGGGATGGATAGCGTGGACCGCAATGTTTGGTAAATCTGTCCACCCTCGGGAGCCACTCCATAACCCGAGGCTGCACGAGCTCCAGCCATGGCTTGGCATACATACAGAGCAGAAGCCCACGTCCGAGCCCCGGACTGCACGGCATCGGGAAGGGCTGCTGTCACGGGACTCACGTTTGTCCTCACCATGCCGTCACGTTTGGTTCCAATGACGCTGAAGCAGCAGTCTGATAATACTGAGAACATCAGCTCAAAGGCCTGCGCATGCTTTCAAAGGGACGTCGGCACGATCTGCAGGCATCTTTAGTTTGATTGGCATTTCCTTGTGACCAGTTTTAATCCAAGTAGGCGGTAACGAGTGGGCGCTGTCTCCATGGCGACACACGCTTGTTTGTCACGCCAATGTACAGCGCCCCATCCGATGTTTTTGTTCCACGTGAGGTTGCAGGCATCCGTTTTACCTTTGGGCGAGCTTGTACACATCCGTTTTGTTTTCTTTCGTGTCAGCCTACACCACATTTTCCTATGTAAACCGGTTATATCGACATCAGCTTTGACGCCTAAGACATGCACAAATGTCCATCTACGAACACTTGCATGCAGGACAAATGTCAAACAGAAATTGACGCGTACCAAGTTTTGCACATACGAACTGTGCGACACGAGCACCAGCGATACCAACAACAGTGCCAACAAACATTCACGCACGAACTCTCGCGCTCGAACCCGTGCGACACATGACCCGCCAAAGAGTGCGCGCGCGCGGTCACCGACGACGCCAGCTGGTGCCGCGGGGCGTGCGCAGCCTGGGCCAATGCCGGCTGCTCACCAGCGTCAGCGCGCAACGTGCCGCGCGCGGTCATCGCAGTGCAATGCGTAGCTTCCCAGTGCCTGCACGTGCGCCACAAACCTGCGCCAAGCCCATCACCCGTGGCCCCCATGCGGCTCAAGCAGATAAAAAACAGCGAAACCCCACGTTCAAATCCCGGTCATCGCGCCCGACGTACTTTGGTTGAAACTTTCTGTTTTCGATCTGGCAGCACGCGCGATATGGTGACGACACGATTAGGTCGCGGCGTGCTCGCTGGTGTCGACATGTTAAGTTCGCAGCGTGCCCGCTGGTGACAGCACGGTACGTTCGCGGCATGCTCGCAGAAGACGACACGTTAAGTTTGTAACATGCTCGCTGGTGACGACACGTTAAGTTCGCGGCGTGCTCGCTGGTTTCGACACGTGAAGTTCGCGGCGTGTTCGCTGGTGACGACACGTTAAGCTCGCGGTGTGCTCGCTGGTTTCGACACGTGAAGTTCGCGGCGTGTTCGCTGGTGACGACACGTTAAGCTCCCGGTGTGCTCGCTGGTTTCGACACGTGAAGTTCGCGGCGTGTTCGCTGGTGACGACACGTTAAGCTCGCAGCGTGTTCGCTGGTGACGACACGTTAAGCTCGCGGCGTGCTCGCTGGTTTCGACACGTTAAGCTCGCGGCGTGCTCGCTGGTCTCGACACGTTAAGTTCGCGGCGTGTTCGCTGGTGACGACACGTTAAGCTCGCGGCGTGCTCGCTGGTTTCGACACGTTAAGTTCGCGGCGTGTTCGCTGGTGACGACACGTTAAGCTCGCGGCGTGCTCGTTGGTTTCGACACGTTAAGCTCGCGGCGTGCTCGCTGGTTTCGACACGTTAGGTTCGCGGCGTGCTCGCGGGTCCAGTGCGCTCGGGTTTCTGGGCATGCTGCATAAATACACCACCGCTGTCTGGCGGCCGACGTATATTGGACGCATGATAAACAGACACTGTTTGCAGATCATAAAATGGCGGAGTTTTTGGTTGAGTGTCATATCACACGCAGCCATGCCGAAGGGCGTCGTTCAATGCAAGCAACTGCATCTAGGTCGAGATTGTTCAAATCCATATCACAGCACGTGAAAGCGGTTGCAAAGGTCGTCATTGGCCTTCGCGCTACGTCACGATAACACGCTTGCACCTGACTTCGGCCTGCACTGCACCGAGTGCGGTCGGCAGCGTGCTTGATGACGTCACATGGGGTCGTCTTCGACGGAGCAACAAAGCCATGCGCCTGGCCGTGTTCGGTGGAGGATATCACAACACACACGGACGCGTCGGACCGCGGAAGCAGACCTGGTTCAGCCCGGAAGACAGATCTGATCGGTGGACAGAGCGGCAAACAGAACACAAGTCGGCCGGGAAGACCGTGGTCCGGGGTTCCGTGCAGGGCTTGAGTACTGGGCGCTCGTGGCTTCTATCAATGCATGCAGCATAACAACGGGCGACTTTTAAGGGTGTCATACGATGGACGTGCGGTAAAACCACGCGAGCGAGCAGGGACGTTAGTGACGCGTGCGGTGGGAGGTACACATCCTGGCTGAAACGTTTGCCATCTGGTTATCCTACGATTCACGTGTAATAGTCCTGCTCGCAATGGCGTAGGAGGGAGCGGTGCAGATGGTCTCCACAAAAGCAGGTGTCAATAAGTACCACAGCAGTACTTGACCTAGGCTGAGAGGTAAATCCATGTCGCGGTCACGTTCCTGTCATAACACCACCCATCTATGTCCAACTTGAAACCATGATATGATTTAATACCATGATACAGTTTAACGTCTCCTACGATCGAAGATAAGCAAATGCTCGTTGTTTTCAAGCCAAATTTGTCAGGCTCACCTATCACCATCATGAATACAGCTGACCTCTGTCAGCATGTCCGCGGCCTCCGTCCAAAATTTACATATTGGCGGCCAGTAGGTCGGGCTCGCCGGTAACTGTCGGGCGCCTCAGAGGTGCTAGCGCTATTGCAGTGCTCCATTTTCATAAATCAGAGGAGCTTGAGCCACACACATGCCCACTTCAAGTGAATAAGAAACTTCTGAGATTAAGACTACACTTCGCGCTTAACAATGCCACCAAGAACAGCCCCCCATAATCATGACACATTTAAGGCACTGGCGCACATTTGGTGAATATTCGATATAACTTAAAACACCACGTAAGCGCTTATCCTCAGTAAATATTCCGTCACTTTCTTGCATTTTGAACGTCAAACTGATCCAACGAACACTTCAACGGCAATGCCAGGGTGCTGATAGTGCGCGGCATATCTTAACTGACGTCATCTTTTGCGCAGTCCCAAACAAGACGTCAAGGGCGACCACGATCTGCCACGTAAGGGGCCACGGTATGCTCCGTTATCTGCGTTTTCACGGGACCCGAGCGAGCCAGGAAACAATACACGGTACGAACAGACCCTAGCGCGAGAGGGTGACCTCGTTGAAGACAACGCACGCCCGGGGCACACATTCCGCAGACCACAATGCCATGGATTCGATGTAGAACTACCCGCGTGGTAACGTGTGCAGACGACTCAAGCATGAGATAGTACCTCGCATCAACATTGGAAGGCTTCGTGTGAAAATTTTTACTTTCGTTTCGTACGAAAATCACGGCAAGTTCGGCATTGGGATGACAACTTCTCGTAGTAGCGCGAGGGTCACATCAGCTGTATCACAAGCGCTGTGCTCTATGCTTTATGTAGCTATGTTTCAGGGCCCCAAACAGCACCACACCACAACGATGCTGTTCTTTGGCGCATCGTTAGTCGAGAAATTCTACCATCATCTCACATGTTACTTCTTTATGAAAATGGTCACGTATGGCTGAAGCTCACGATAATTACTAAAAAATCGCACTGAAATGATACACGCTTCTGGGACAGTCATGAATGGGCGTGTCTAATGTGTATGGTCGCAGCGTGCAACGTCACTACACAGCATGCCCAGAGTCAGCCGACCCATTCGACACGTCCCACGCGTACAGACGGGACGGGCAGACCGCGTCCCGGCCGGGCAGCGGCCGAGCCCCGGCCGAGCAGCGGTCGAACCCCGGCCGGGCAGCGGCCGAGCCCCCGCCGGGCAGCGGCCGAGCCCCGGCCGGGCAGCGGCCGACCCTGGTCGGGCAGCGGCCGACCCCGGCCAGGCAGCGACAGAGCCCCGGCCGGGCGGCGGCCGACCCCGGCCGGGCCGCCGCCCTGCTCCGTCTGCCGGTCAGCGGGGCGGCCGCGACGACGGCAGCGACGGCGGCGACGAGCGGCGGCCATCGGACGCCGCAGACTCACCGTCGCGACCGGCGGCGGCCTCCTGCGACAGCAGCTCCAGACTGCTCCAGCGGGCCAGCGAGGCGCGCTCGTCCACCTCCTCTGCGGCCAGCCGGCGGAGAGGGGGCGAGGTCAGGCGCCGGAAGCCAGATCCGGACAGGCGAGAGCGACACGACAGGGGCGCAGGCGAACGGTGCGCTGGTGACCGTGTGAGCAGGGGTCCCGGGGCACTTCGACGAGATGTTGAGGGGAGAAGGACATGTAAGTATAGTCATACGGGAGCGGGGAGGAGCGGAGAGGAGCGAAAAGGAGAGAGGAAGTGAGGAGAAGACAAGAGTGGAGGGGAGAGGAGAGAAGAGGACAAGACGGGAGGGGAGGGAAGAGAAGAGAAGAGGAGAGGAGAGAAGAGGAGAGAAGAGGAGAGGGGAGGAGAGGAGAGGAGAGGAGAGGAGAGGAGGAGAGATGAGAGAATAGGAGAGAACAGGGGAAAGAGAAGAGGAAGGGAGAGGAGAGAAGAACAGAGCAAGGAGAGAGGGGGGAAGGGAGGGATGAGAAGGAGGGGATCCCCCATCCTAAAGGATGGAGGATCAGATATTGGGATTGGAAGGGAGAGGAGAGCAGAGCAGATAAAAGGGGAGCAACGTCGGGAGAATGAGACCATCCAACCCACACACGTGCCACAGCAAGTGTGGTTTATCAAGTGCCACTAGTGAAATACTCGGTGATAATCCAGTGCAAACGTGCCGACATGTCAAAACCCACGACAGGCAGACCTCATTCGTGACCAACTTGAGCCCTCCCAAGGCAGCTAGCTCCAAACGGCCATGCATACCAAGCCGAGACTGGTGCTTACGGGCATTCCGTGACCATCTCCCTATATCTGTCTCTGTGCAGTGTGCTGGCTACCAACGACTAGGGGTGCACGTGTACGGCAGCTAGGGGCGTGTCAGTGTGCAGCTAGGGGTGTGTAGGTATGCGCAGTGCGAGCGGCCCAGCGGAGCGTGCGCTCGGTTCCCCGGGCCGGTCGGTCAGACGAATACAGCGCGCTCTGCTCCCACCTCGCCGCCGGCCCCATGCTGACCCGCGCCCCGCGTCCTCCCCTCCGCCGGCGCTAGTATGTACACTGTACAAGCCGCACGGTCAGCAAGCCGGGGCAGCGCGCCCAAACACGATGCAGATGCCGCCTATGGGTCGTGACAACGCGCCGGGCCGTCCGCGACATCAGACCAGCATCGCAGCGCTCTCGGCCAGCACCAAGCCTGCGTTACAACGTGTCTGGACAGCGTGACAACGTGCCTGGCTCGCGCCAGGCAGTGTTGCAACGTGCCTGGCTCGCGCCAGGCAGCGTTACAACACGCGTCAGGCCAGCGCTGCAGTCGACTACGAAAGGCCCAGCGTTTGACGCTTGACAGAAACAATACTTAGGCTTTCGGGTACGGGACGGCCACCATACGTACCCTTGATAGTGGGTATCACAAAGCCTAAAACGGTGCGTTGGCATTAGAGGAGCTGACGACCGGTCTGGCATAACAGCTGAATACATCCCTGGACGACCACTTTGGACCATGACAGCCGGTTTGTTAACTAGGCGGCTGTTCTCTGACGGCCGTCAGAAACAGTTAACATGGGGCATAGTTTGTATATACGCTCATCACATAAGCAAGCAAGTGCCGGGCCACCAAAATAATCGGGTCTATCCCGCAGCCGGTGCGTCGGTGGCGCCTCAACACTGAGACGTGGTTTGCAGCTTCACATGACAGTCGTCGACGACACATTCGTCCCTGCGTAAGGGAGCAGGCCTGGGTTTGCACACGAATCACGCTCGTACAAGACGGTGGGAGGACGATGGTTAACACCGGCGGCACGTGTCATAGAAGTGCATCAGAAGTCAGGTAACGACCTCAGAACTGACTGAAATTCGAGACCTCTATCGACACCAAAACAACAGGCCCGAAGTTCCGTGGAAGCTTGGGAAAGACAGTAGATGATAATACAGTCTTCCAAAGCTCGGTTATCCGGGTAAGGGCGGCTAGTGAAACGTTTGTGGTGCGGGACTAGCGTCGGTTATAAGCGACGGCTAATGAACAGAGCACCTCAGCTAACGCCTCTGACCGAGCTATCTCACACCGCGCCCAGAGCCGACGACAATCGCGAGCAGGCGCGAGTACCGTGCACCCAGCACCCTCGACCGCCCTCGCACCCACACGGACGGGTTTGCGTTGCGGTCGGCTGGCCAGCCCGTCCCCCGCGCCAAACCTGAACTGTACCGCCGTCAGCCGGCTGCGGCCGCTCGCCGGCTGCGTGTGAGCCCGGCATCGCTCACCTTCGCAGTCGAAGAACTCCTCATCGGAGGAGGCGTTGACGGAGTCGCGCCGGATGCTCTCCATGCGCCAGTTGGCCAGCTGCGCCTCCAGGCCGGCCTTGCCCGACACAGAGCCTGCCGCGCCACGGGTGGGTGGCTGTGACGACGCTGAGCGGGGCCGGCGACGCTGGGACAGTGCGCAACACCGGGCAGTAGCGACAGGCGCACGCGGCGGCCGGCTGGCGAGCGCGGCACAGCCCCCCCCCCCCTCCCCCCCCTCCCCCCCCCGTGTCAGCAGCCGCGGCGGTGGCTCAAAGCGGTGACAGACGCACCACCACTCAGCCGCGTCCTGCTGAACACCAGAAGCCTGGCAGTGGTGCCTGGCCGGCAGGAGGCCCATGATGCTCCCCGTGTGGCCCGAAGCCCGCTGTTCCGCCGCGTGGCCATCTGCCGTTCACCCGACAACACAGCGTGACGACCCGCCCTCCGAGCCCCTCGTCTCGCGGCGGGGTCACCGCACACAGAAGACGCCCCTTTATCGGGCCGCGACACACGCTCAGCCGCCGCCGTCCAGCGTCGCTGCGCCCGCCCCAGCACCCGCCCGCGTTCCACGGGTGCCCCTTCCCTCGCGGAGCAGCCAGCCGGGGGTGGGGCACGCACCGGGCGAGTGGAGCGTCAGGCGGGAGCTGCTGCGTGACCAGAGGCTGCGGCGCGCCTCAGCGTCGGCCGCCTCGGTGCCGCGCTCGGCCGGCTCGCCGGCGCGCTCCGGCTCGGCGTCAGAGCCGGCCGGCTCGTCGGCGCCGCCGAAGCGCGCCGCCAGCAGCCGCTGCGTGTCGGCCTCGATGCGGCGGATGTCGTCGATGGTGAGGCCGTGCCACTCGTCCTGCCACGCCCACGCCTGGCGGTGCGCGCGCAGCATAGTCTTGCGCAGCGCTGCCGGCGGCACACACCCGCGGGCGGGAGTCAGTATGCCACGTGCGCTACACGTGGGGTGATCTATTTTGCCTCCTCGCGGAGGCAAAATGGCAGCAGTGAGTTTGCCTCCGCGAGGAGACAAGCTCACTGCTGCTGCACACCGGCGACCTAACAAGATGAAAGCATTCGAGCACTGAGTGCTTAAACACATCAAAGTTTTCAAACATTCACGAATACACGGTTCAAGGACTGTTTGCGATTAACCTACCTCATCACGTTTCCCAGACATTGCCGCAAGACCTAAGCCAAAAGCGACGCGTAAGTCGCTGCAACCGAACGTGCTCAGCACCAACCCCCCTCTAGCGTCCGCTACAGTCTCACCGATATCGTGGATGAACTTTTCGATCTTGCTCTGCATGCCCCAGTAGCGAAACTCGACCTTGCACAGCTTGTAGGCGCACATCAGGGCGCGGCCATTGGGCAGCGGTGTCTGCTTCCCCTGCGGACGCGCGCGTACAGCGATCACCGCCCGACATCGGCGGCCTCTCATGGGGGGGCTGGCGCAACAGGTGGCATGGCAGTACACGAACACAGCCGGCACAAACAGGCCAGAGTTGGCCGATCTCTGGGCCAGGTGGGCAGATGTACGGCTGGTGTCGATACAGATGTACGGTTGGTGCGTACACAGGGGCTCGGTTGGCAGACGTACGGCTGGTGCGACACAGGGGCTCGGTTGGCACGAACAGAACCAAAACCAGCGCACACGTAGACATAACCGTTTCTGGATGCATGGATCTAGCCATCCCTGGTGGTTCCGTTGATACCTCCGGATCCTATCATAACCGACAGCTGCGCCCTTACTCCAGGGTCCAGCTGTGTCCATACCTGACCGCTGACCAGCACTCTGGGACCCTAACCATATGTGGTGGTCTCGTCAGTACCTTTACATCCCGCCGCACCTGACGGTCGCTCCACCACCCCTGGCCTCCGCCACACCTGACGGTCGCTACACCACCCCTGGCCTCCGTCACACCTGACGGTCGCTCCACCACCCCCGGCCTCCGCCACACCCGACGGTCGCTCCACCACCGCTGGCCCCCGCCACACCTGACGGTCGCTCCACCACCCCTGGCCCCCACCACACATGACGATCGCTCCATCACCCCTGGCCCCCACCACACCTGACAGTCGCTCCACCACCCCTGGCCCCCACCACGCCTGACAGTCGCTCCACCACCCCTAGCCCCCACCACACCTGACAGTCGCTCCACCACCCCTGGCCCCCACCACACCTGACAGTCGCTCCCCCACCCCTGGCCCCCACCACACATGACGATCGCTCCACCACCCCTGCCCCTCGCCACACCTGAAGTCGCTCCACCACATCTTGCCCCCACCATACCTGACAGTCGCTCCAGTACTCGCTGATCCAGTCGTCGCCGAGCGGGCCGCGGCCGGTACGCTGCGAGACGAAGAGGCGCGGGTCCTCCTCGCGCACGTAGTCGCCCACGCCCAGCTGGTCGCGCACCACATCTATCAGATCTGGCGGCAAGCGAGGGGAGGCGGTGAGGCGAGCTGGAGCCGACAGCTGCGCAGGCCGCCTCTCCCCTCCCAGCCAACATCGGGAGCGGACCCTCGCCCCCCCCCCCCCTCCCCGCCGGCGTGGGAGGCGGACCCTCGCTCCCGCGCCACCGGCGACAGGTTCTTATCCGCCGGGGCAGCGACGGACGGCTGGGGAAGACGCCGCCGGGATCCAGCTGCGGTTTGTGTGCGGCTGTGTGTGCGCCCGAGAGGCAGGCGAGGAGCGGCTGGGCTGGGCTGTGCTGCGCTGTGCCTGTCCTGCAGCGTCCACTGAGCTCTGTCCACTGAGGAGGTGGAGTGGTCCGAACGGTGCCGTAAGTCTGGCGGACGACGACATCGACACACCGCGCTGAGCCATATGGTGCCTCACGGAGCCACCAACACTTTTCTGGGAAACAGAATCCTTGTTGTTCGTGTTTCCTCGCCATACAGCGAGGAAACATGGAACATGGGCCTCTTTTGAGGTCTCGTGGTCTTTCTCGTCGACCTACAGGCTATGTTAATGCCCGGAAAGGTTAGCCACTCTGCTTACACTCAAGCAAGAAACGAATATTTTTACTTTCACACGACCATGGACACGGCAGGGTTACAGAGATAAGGTCTGATGATGAAATCTTATCCCAAACCACACCGTATCCATACCGCATACCCACCACGAGCCAAGCATACGCCTTGTCTGCATAATACCGTGTTCTGCCACGGCATACAACAAACTTGCAACGGGCTAGTTTGCAGAGTGATGAGAGAGAGTGATGATAGAGAGTGATGAGAGCGATAGCGAGAGCGGAGCGAGAGCGAGAGCGAGAAGCGAGAGCGAGAGCGAGAGCGAGAGCGAGAGCGAGAGCGAGAGCGAGAGCGAGAGCAGATCGAGAGCGAGAGCGAGAGCGAGAGCGAGAGCGAGAGCGGAGCGAGAGCGAGATAGAGAGAGAGAGAGAATAGAGAGGGAGAGAGAGAGATAGAAGAAGAGAGAGAGAGAGAGATAGAAGAGAGAGAGAGAGATAGAGAGAGAGAGAGAGAGAGAGAGAGAGAGAGAAGAGAGCGAGAGAGAAGATAGAGAGAGGAGATAGGAGAGAGAGAGAGAGAGAAGAGAGAGAAGAGAATAGAGAGAGAGAGAGAAGAGAGAGAGAGAGGAGAGAGGGAGAGAGAGAGGATATAGAGAGGGAGAGAGAGAGGCGGTCAAGGCTCTACCTTTACCCGCAAACACCGTCTCATGGTGGTGAGTTTTTTCATACCAACGGAGCCCGGCGAAAATGCACGCGGTATACGGCATACGCGCCTCTGACAACACCCCGGGAGCGGGGGAAGCCGTACAAATGTACTACAGGACAGGCACGCCAGTGATAAGGCTTCACTTGAAGAAGAGCTTCCGCAAAAGTTGGCAGGTTACGGTAAGCGCTCAAAAGATCAAAGATCAAAGGAAAACACAGCCTAACGTACACTTAATGACATCAATGGACCCATGTCGGGCTGGTGGTATACGCTCACTAAGACGCACCCACACAGTGCAAGGTTGACAGTCATCCCAAATGACAAAAAAAAAAAAATGCACGGTGAGGGTTTGGCACAATTCCAGTGTGGCTTTTCGAGTCCTGGCTCCGTGCCTGACTGGCTTCCTTCAACTTTCACCTCGCATCGAAAAATGCAATTTATGTAGTTCCCTACAGGTTTACACACAAACACCGGTGTTGGCGGCATTTACTGGCTGGCGATGCCAAAACATGCCACCTTCGCATGACGACATGATCAGCATGCCTTGATATGGCATGAGCAAGGTATGGTATGCAAAGTATGGCATGGGCAAGACAACCAAGGCCACTGTGACAACAAACGGCAAGCCGAGACAGCCGGTCTGTCAACCGGCGCGGGTGCTGCGACTGACTGAGAACTCGCTCACGGCTGAACGCAAAGCGCGCTGAGCCAAAGGTCCGCGGAGCGTTTACAGCCTCCCACCTATCCCGTCCAATCTGTCGAGATCGGGACCATTTCCTGCCTAAAGCAGGCCTGTTTGACGGCCATTACGCAGCGCTGGCTCAGGCGGAGATACCGAGGACGGATCGAGACCTCTGACAGGGCAGCGGCTGACAACACCACGCCGGCCTGGTTTGAGAGCAAGGCGAAGCGGCTGCGCTGAGTCGGTAGGGGGCAAGCTCATCACGATCCCAGCGCGGAGACACTCTCGGGGGGCGCGCCGGTGTCGATGTATCGGCCGGCATCGACCGCCGCCGTTGCTGACGACAGCGCAGAGTCGCGCTAAAAACGGCCGCTGTTCGTGCGGCGCGGCTCTAATTCAGACAGATCACGTCACGGTTCAAGCGGCTCCCCAGCCACGGGCGTCGCCACCGGACGGCCCCACGGTCACTGACGCCGTCCCTGAACAGCTCCAGTGTCACGGACACCGTCCCCGAACGGCTCCAGGGTGACTGGCGCCGTCCCCGAACGGCTCCAGGATTACTGACGCCGACTCTAAACGGTTCTAGGGTCACGGACGCCGTCCCTGAACGGCTCCAGGGCCACGAACACTGTCCCCGAACGGCTCCAAGGTCACAGGACAGCGTCACTGAACGGCTCCAGGGTCATGGACACTGTCCTGAACGGTTCTAGTGTCAAGAACACCGTCTCCAAACGGCTCCTGGGTCAATGACGCCGTCCCTGAACGGTTCCAGGGTCATGGACGCTGTTCCTGAACGGCCCCAGGGTCATGGACATCGTCCCTGAACGGCTCCAGGGTCACGGACGCCGTCCCTGAACGTCTCTGGCTGGACGAGACGCCGGCGGTGTCGGGGACCCCGAGTGACGTCCGGGTCAGCCCGTCACCAGTGGCGCGCGCGTAACGTCCGGTGTAGCAGTAGTGGGGCCGATGGTGTCCGTCTCACAGGGGAGAGGACCAAGGACAGCACCAGTCTCTGGAGAAGACGGCGTCAGTCTCTGGAGAGGACTGCCCCAGTCCCTGGAGGGGACAGAGGAGAGGACCGAGGACGGCACCAGTCTGTGCGGAAGATGGCGCCAGTCCCTGGGGAGAACGCAACTACACGGCATGTTGGGCCCCGATTGCCCGGGCAACAAGCCACGAGAAGATCCTGTCGAAACCGACGAGAGTAACACAGACGCGGGTGTCAGTCGACTGCTGGGTCAAACCAGCTCTGAGGAAAAACGATATCACCCATGAACCTAACCGCTCCACCTCCTCGCTGGGCCTCAAAATGACAACACGGAGAGGTTGAACTAAGGACAGGCCTGTGCAGGGTCGGTCATACTTCGATCGGTCATACCGAGTGTGGCGTGACTTCACGCTGGCGTGAACGGCACTCCGGCGGTGAATCAACGCCCTGCCAAGAGTTGGGAATGACAACTGTCATCGAAATGTTGCAACACCTAAATTAGTCCTAGCGAGTTTCCAGTACATCCAGCGATGCATCTATGACCAGCATGTTAGACTGCAGCTGCACTTAACCCCCCGCCGCATCAGTGGTCACCTAAGCCGTCTTTATATTGGTAGTGCGGAGCCAGCACAGGCAGCCGCCTATACTTATATTCCTACGCTCAAATGACATTAAACTGTGTATGCAAAACACCTGCCCGACGACACGTTTAGGTTACAGGCTTCAACAAGTCGCACCGCACGACATTTGGGCTACTGATCTTTTTGGCTGGCCACCCAGCCGAACCAGCGTCACAAGTGCGTCCAGAATAAGACGCTAGATCACACTTGCCGCATCCTCCGTTCGATCGCTGGCATGCCGATTACAAAATGTGGTTACTGTACACTGACTTAATGATTTCAAATGACTACTGTAGCGTCAAACGGGTGACGGTATGCATCGCAGAGGCATACTGCCCGCCATGAGCATAATCTAGCTTACACATTTCAAGTTTTCTTTTGGCGGAACGTGCATGCTTAAGTACCAATAAAACGCCGCGAAACTAACCCATTCCTTGTTTCCTTCCACACAACATGCTAAACAGTTCAGAAGTTTTGACAGCGACCGCACAGTTTCCACGCGGGCAAACACGCGCGCGGGCAAACATGGCATTTGGCCAGCCGGAGCGCCAGGCCGCGCCACAGCCTCCCGTCGGCCTGGACCGATTTGTAGCCCGATGACAGGACTGGTTTAATAAGGCTTGAAATGCGTAACGAAAGTTAGTTTCTGGATATGTACGGATACTTGGATATATTTGTCGTCCCCATGTGGGGAATTTGTGTTCAGCGGCTGCTCAAAATGTTAAGTGCGACATTTCAACGTTCGAGTGGATAGCGAAATACAGCGAGCTTCTCGAAACCACTTCCGATTTCGGACGCGAATGGTCCAGGAGGGCTTCCTGCAGCTTGCGGACCCGTCGCGGAAAGTGATGACCATATGAGGTATCATAATTATTTAAGGAAATTACACAATGTAACTTTTTATCATCAATTTAGTGCAAATGAATGCATCAGGTTATGCCTTAGCATAATCAACGTGTTAGTGTATAGGTGTAAATAGCATCTGTAAATGCTGACACACCAGACAAGGACGATGGTCAGAACAATCATTCGATCCGCGATGAACCATGACCCAAAGGAGCAAAGCAACGTACTTATGGAAAACCCCAAGCCTGTGTTCCCAACCATGCGCGCTGGCTATATTTGCCTGACCTTTACCACAGCATCTCTGACGATATTTATATCTTCAGTTCCCAGATGCGGTTTCGTGAAACCCTAAAAGCTAATCCGCCATTCACGACAGCACACCAGGCCGCTCTGCCAGGCCGGCAGTGTAGTCACCAACCAGGACCGCATCCAGGAGCCGGGGCTGACGTCACATACCAGTGACGTGACGTCACACGCCCGCGGTCCATCGCAACAACGGCCGCCGGGACAGCAGCGCGCGTTGAAAGCGCGGCGTGGGATCGACGGGAGCAGACGCTATGACGTCACCACATCGTCCTTCAGTCAGCCGGAGCAGGGCCACCGCCCGCCCGAAACCGGCGCCATGACGCCACGGCACTGCGCGGCACCTGCATTGCAATCCCGGTAGCACAGCAGCCCAGCTTCCTCGGACTTGCACGGGCTTAGAAAGAGTTCACGAACGGTCGACCGTCACAAAACATCGTCGTGTTTTCCCAATAATTGGGGAGTGGAAACCCGTCTCGCAGCCAGGCATGTTTTCGAGCTGCACAGGAGATAGAGGCCCGACACGAACATCTGGCAGCGGCCACAGCAAAGCCACAGGATGCACATTTCCATCATAACCATCCCGCAGCACGGACCATTTCGGGCGATGCCGTCAGGATCTGCGCAAACAGCCACGACACAAGGGCCGCAGCAGCCCATGACGTCACTGGCGGGCGTGTGACGCCACACGCCACTGACCTACGGTTCGCCCGCCCAGCTCTGCTTTGCTCAGCTGGAACACGTTCTCCTGGTGACCGCCGTCGTTGAAGTAGTACGTCTCTATCTGCAGGCTGAACTTCTCGACGAACGGGCAGGTGTAGCGCGTCTTGGTGTACGGGTAGGCGTTCCATGCTTCCTCCTCCACCGTCAACGCTGACTTCGGCAGCAGGCTCTTGAACCAGCCTGATGGTAGGGAAACAGATCACACCATGTACGTAAAGCTGGCGGCTGAGGCGACGTCACTACAGAGAGGACCGATGGGACGCCTCCACCGGCGGGCGTCATTGGGACCGGACCGCTTGCACACCCGGTGTGAGCTGCTAAGTCTTTCAGCGGTGTATGACATGCGGCCGGGCGTCGAATCGTCCGAAACATACAGTGCGATGGCCGACGTGGGGCATGCCACGGCATAACGCTGCTGAAAGCCCGCGATTATGCACAGGGGAGGCGAAACGTCTTCATAACTGGGAGATTGGAGATGGGCAACTCGACTTTATGTCGTTTCTTTCCACGCATCGCCGAAGGGTAACATCAAATTCCGCCCGCGTTATGGTGACTGTCCCCTCCGCCTCCCCCTTTAATCAGCCGCTTCTGAAGACGGGCTGATTTCACTGGCGAGCTAGCCGACATCAGACCCGCTGAACACTGCACGTCATGAGTCATAGGCCCCTCGTCTGGCGCTCGTCCCGTGCCAGCGGCGCGGTCTTCCTGTCGTCACACCAGGCCGCCTCCGACTCGGGCGGCGCTGGCTGCTGCTGCCGGCGGCGAGGCTGCCGTCGGGCGACATGGGACACGCCCGCCGCCGCCGCCCGGCGCTCGGTCAGCGCCCGCCCCGCCCAGTCCTTCGTCTCCTCACCGGTCTCATTCACGACACGAGGAACAGCGCCTCTCCTTTTGAATCAGCAAGTCCCTGCGCGCAGTTCAATCGTTGTTAAAGCCAACATACCAACCTGCTCTCGCGTGGAGTCGCGCTGACCGAACGCTTCGCGCAGGCGGGCATATTGGATGCCTGGTGCCAGCGTGTGTGCGCAGCTCCTGCGCTCTTTGCACAGTTATCTCTGTGCACCGGCACATCCGCCTGCTCCTGGTGACGGCCGCGCGGCGGTGCGCAGGCTGTACCGGTGAGGATTGTCACCGCCCAGCGCGACGACACCGCGACATGTCAGACGCCGGCGGACGGTGACCAGCCACTGACGTACTGAGGGCCGGCCGCTGACGGACTGAGGGTCAGCCACTGACGGACTGAGGGCCGGTCACTGATGGACTGAGGGCCGGCCACTGACGGACTGAGGACCGGCTACTGACACAATGAGGACCGGCCACTGACGGACTGAGGACCGGTTACTGACGGACCGGGGACCGGTCACTGACGGACTGAGGACCGGCTGCTGACACACTGAGGACCGGTCACTGACGGACTGAGGGTCGGCCACTGACAGACTGGGGACCGGTCACTGACGGACTGAGAACCGGCCACCGACGGACTGAGGACCGGCCACTGACGGACTGAGGGTCGGCCACTGACGGACTGAGGACCGGTCACTGACGGATTGAGGACTGGTCACTGACGGACTGAGGACCGGCTGCTGACACACTGAGGGCCAGTAACGGCCAATGACGCATGATGCCGTCACACACCGGCGCACCGCAGGACCGGACCGGACCGGACCGGACTGCTCCGGAGCTGTCGTCACATGCCCCTGGTGCCGTGACGGCCGCGAGCCTCGCGCCGCCGAGTGCAGCGGACCCGGCCGGGCCGGGCGGGCCGCTGCCCGCGCCGCAGGCCACAGGTGAACCGGAGGCCCGGCCCCGCACCGTTCTGCCCACGGGCTCCGAACCCCAGGGCCGGCCATGGGCTGCAGAGGCACGGCATGCAGCAGCCAGTCACGGTATTTTGGAAACTACAACATCCGCAGTATCCCAGTCTAGTATCATATGCCGTTTTTATCACATACAGCATCATGTCATTATCGCAGCGGTATTAGTATCAGCTTACAGTATATAGCGAGCTGATAGTCACAAAGACGCAGCCGCAATGGCCGGAACTTCAAAAGTGGGCAGATCATACCAGAGCATTGATACACCACACGCATCCTTGCCCCGACTAACCGTTGCGCAAACGCCAGGCGTAGAAGCTTCATAACCGGTTTAATTAGACATTTCCCAGGCCGAAGCCAGGGGAGACGGCCATAGTGACGCCAGGAATCCCGCAAGCCACACATGCCAGCGTTCCCGCCATTAGGACGCTGTAGTTAAATCGCCCGGCTCGCTGTGTCACCACCGTGTTGCGCCACCGCCCCGGAGGGTCGGTGTGTAAATGAGGCGGCGCCAGGCCGAGCTGCGCCGCCTGCCTGGGATTGCGCGGCGCTGGTTGGCCGTCCCGGGTGTCGAAGCGGCAGGCCGCTGTCCGCGGGCCGGCCGTGGCTTTTGGGAGAGAACGTCAGACCGGCGGTCGCCAGACCTCTGGTCTGTGAGCAGACCCTGTCGTCCGCGTGCCTGACGGGTGGCGCCCGTGCCGCGAGATCGCCAGCTGCCCCCCCCCCCCCCCCCTTGCCGTCCGGAACACAGTTCCGAGACCCGGCCGCCGGCCCGAGCCACCAGCCGAACCACCGGCCGTTCAGCCGGACCCGGTCCCAAGCCGCACCCGGGGTCACGGCGGGGTCGCTCCAGACGGGCCCGGGTCACGCCCGACGCCGGCTCCCCATGCCCGCTTGAACAGCGCTCACGCTACACTGCACCCACCGAGAGGTGCAGTGTCGCATGACACGTACAGCCTTGGACAGGGCCGGCTGACGGGAACCGCGAACGACCTACCATGCCCAATATCTACCAGGTGATCTTCACCGCTGCGTCATTGTTCATGCACACAATGCAAAGCACACAATGGCAATGCCCCCGGGCCATCGTCGGCGTGAATCAAACGCGCGTTTACATAAAGGTACATTCACGTCGACTCGGCGGAGGGGAGAGCCGCTGTCGGTACACTCTGCGAGCCCCGACGACCCCCATTCATGGCCCCGACGAATTAATTTCCAGGCGGGGTAAAGCTACGGGTGTGCGGGAGTACGTCACGGATTTATTGCGCCGGTAAATGTGAAATCGGCAGCGTGGACAGAGGGCACACAGGCGTTCCAAGGTCCTGCTGAGTGTTCGGGGATGTAAGCACACTTTACACGTCGAATAGTGGGGCGGCAAACAGCTGCAATCCACTGGTCATGTTCAGGGCGGCCGGCGAGGTACCCAGGAGGGCGTGTCATGTGAACGCGACAGTCAGGTGGCTGTCGTCAATCGCCACGACAGTCCGCGCCACCGACTCGAGAACGCGCACCAGACGAGGAGCCGACGTGGAAGGTCTAGTCTGTGTGTTGGCTGCACACGCGTGGTAGATGACTGCGGACGGCGGATTAGATTTCGTGCTTGTTTCAGGACCATACACCGGGCCAGCGATGCGCTTTAGGTACATATTTGACCAACGACATTTTGTGGGTGCTTCGAGTACACCTACCGGGCAGGTTGCTACCGACGTGATGGATTATGTATGTATTTTGAGTACACACAGCGGGCAGGTGGCTGCCGACGTGGTGCATTTTGTGGGTGTTTTGAGTACACCTACCGGGAAGGCGGCTACCGACGTGGTAGATTGTATGTGCTTCGGGTACACTTACCGGGCAGGCGGTTGCCGACGCGGTACATTTTGTGTGTTTGAGTACACACACCGGGCAGGTGGCTGCCGACGCGGTAAACTTTGCGGATGTTTCGGGTACACCTACCGGGCAGGCGGCTACCCACGCGGTAGATTCTATGTATTTCGGGTACACCTACCGGGTAGGTGACTGCCGACGTGGTGGATTTTGTGTATTTCGGGTACACCTACCGGGCAGGTGACTGCCGACGTGGTAGATTTTGTGTGTGTACTGCCCGCTACCGCCAGGACCGTCCTCGTACGGTTCGTTGACCAGAATCTCGACGCCGCTGCCTTCACCGTGCGTCTCATCCCGGCTCTTCTTCTGCGGGGTCAGACGAGGCCACAGTCAGGTCATGCCCGAGAGAGGGAGAAAGCGCCATCCGATCAGCTCCGGTCAGACGGGGTCAGTGGCGGCCGCGCAATGTCAGGTCAGGTAAGACACGCCCACGCGAAGGTCGCGCACGACCCATTCGAATGCGTCGTGTACACACGCACAGACACGCATGCCAGCAGCCTGTTTGTCAGGCCCGGCGCGTGCCGTCCGCGCCTCTCAGGCAACATCACGCACCGTACCGCGACACGAACCGCCTCGGCTAGCTACTTACGGCGCACAAAACACGGCACCGTGCCATCGCGGCCGCCATCGGACGACGGGCGACCAGCCGCGGAGGCCGCGGCGCCTCCACAGCACGCGGTGCCGTACGGCCGCCGATCGGCTCCCTCACCAGGCGGAGTGATCACACTCGTGCCGCAACAGGCGGAGTGACCACACTCGTGCCGCACTCGCAGGGCGATCATAAACACGGCAGGGTCGGGTACCGCGGCGAAACACGCACAGCTGGGCGATCTGGTACTCACAGTGATCATGTACAGGTGGGCGATCTGGTACTCACAGCGATCATGCACAGCTGGGCGATCCGGTACTCAGAGCGCTCATGTACAGCTGGGCGATCCGGTGCTTAGCGATCATATACAGCTGGGCGATCCGATACTCGCAGCGATCATGTACAGTTGGGCGATCCGGTACTCACAGCGATCATGTACAGCTGGGCGATCCGGTACTCGTCGACGGTGAGCGGCAGCGGTATTCGGTATTCCTTGATGAGCATGGCGGAGACGCGGTCGGCGAGCTGGCGGCCCTGCCGAGGCCCGCGCGGCTACAGCTGCGGCAGCGGCGACGGAGCTGGCGTCAGCGGCCGCGCCCGCACCTCAGCCCTGCCACTCTCACACGCACAAACGCGCACGCACACGCACACGCGCGCGTCCCGCCCCTGCAGACACGGCAGCGCGGCCGCCGGCCCCACGGCCGTGACCGCCAGGAGTCCCCTGACAAGGCCGCGGGCGACCGCCTGCCGAGCGGCGGCCGGCGGCGGGAGGGGGCGGGGCGGCGGGGGCGCGCGCGCGCACCGCGGTCCCTGTCGGCTATCTGCGGCCGCAGCCCGGCGCCGGCCGGCCCTGCCGCTCGCCAGTGAGCCGGACCGGACCGGGCGGCCAGATAGCGTCGACTCGGTGCCGCACTATCTTGTCCGACCGGCGACACGGCGCGGCCGACCGGCGGAGGGGCCGTCATGGCCCGCACGAGGCACGTCCGTCACGGTCGGCACGTGACGCACCCGTCACGGCCGGCACATGACACATCCGTCACGGCCGGCACATGGCACATCCCTCACTGCTGGTACGTGGCGCATCCGTCACGACTGGCACATGACGTGTCCGTCACGATCAGTAGAACATGGCACATCCGTCACAGCCAGCACATGGTCACGGCCAGCACATGGAAAATCCGTCACGGCTGGCACACGGGACATCCGTCACGGCTAGCACGCGGCACGCTCGTCACGGCCGACACGTCACGGTTGGCGGAGGCCGCACATGTCAGCAGTCACTGGCAACACACACCGTTCGCCGCAACCAGCGTGTGCATACCGTAGTATTCATTACGATCCCTTGTCTGTACGTGATGAGAAAGCAAAAAATCCACCGGGCGACGTTCTGGCCGCGCGCGCCAACATACCCTCTGATCTTAAATGGACAAAAATCCTGTTCAAAACGCTGCTCACCCCCAACAAATTCTGAACAACCAAACTACCTTAAAGTCCGTGATTTCTTTTCGAGTGTAGCATGAGAACAAACGACGGATTCTGTCAAAACGCAAGATGTCAACTGAAGCACACGAGCGTGTTATGTACCGTGCCGTGTCCTCAATTCAAGTCATTCTATGTGCGGCACAATCACTTTATGCAAAGACCCACCGATTTCCAACGCATTGATCTGCATCAGATAGTCTTGGTGTCAACTGCACGTTTATCATCCCGTTTATCAGGCGTTAAATATGATTTTGAAGCTCTTTGAGCCATAATAATGCAATGCATCCTTGGTCATAGCTGACTAAAAAGTGATCAAACTGGTCGCTTTAACCCGAAGCCGCCGAGAGAAAACATGTCACCATTTAGCGCGCAGTATGCACTAAAAGGAGCATCCACCACAGCACATGATGGGTAACGTGGGTAAACTGATCACTAAACCGGGGAGATGCACGAATTCAACTGCTTCAACGGCCCAACAAAACGTCACGGAACACTCTGCATTCAAATAGCATCACCAAGTCCAGCTGGCTGCCCTGCTTGGCAGTGTCCATGGGACAGGAACCGGCTGCCATTTTTAACAAGATGACGAGACCGGATCAAGGCACAAATTGGTCCACAAAATTTCCCTGTCAACCTTATCAGGAAGCGGCCCACCGTCCTTCATCAAGCCCGTCGGCTGACAATCTAATACAGACTCAATGCTGCACATGCGTCCACTTTTGGGCAGGTCGATACGTTTATTTCGCCGGCGACGCCCGTCCGCAGCCGGCTTGCCGCCGCGCCAGTGCAAGCACGGAGGATTCAATCTCAGTGAGTGTCGCCGCCGCGCTAGCTCTGGCCGCCGCCGCTGCAGATGGCGTGCAGTCGATATAGAGCCAGTCAGCGTCAGCTGGTGTGGGTCTCCCCTCGCCCGGAGGTCAGAGGTCCGAACAGCGAGGAGTGACCTCTGACCTCCCCTCGCCCGGGGTCAGAGATCCGAACAGCGAGGAGTAGTATGAGCTACCTCTGGCCACGAGGCCGCCCAGCGAGCGTCTAGCAGATGCCGTTGATAAGACTTTTAGGACATATAACGTCTTCTCGGAAAAAATTGATATATTACAAATTATGTATAGCTTTCTCAAGCACGCTAACTGGACACTCGACATCACAGGTGATAACGAGAATGCGTCCGTAGAACTGAACAAAGTTAAGCCTGCTTTGGGGGATTGTGAGCTCTTCTGCTGAAGGAATCGGTCTCCGACATATCGGGAGGCATTAGTTAAACTAAAGAGGGCCTGCAGCCTGCACAGCCTCCGAGATGCACCACCGAAATCTCCAGTTTCTAGCAGTGCTCAAGGTAACGGATGATTTGAGTCACTCGGTGCCCCGTGGACGTGAAAACCGCTGGGAACGTTGAGCATTCCCCTGTAAGAGTCCAATGAATGCTTGACAGATGCTTGTTTACAGCAACAGCTGGCACAAAGCACAGGCCAGCTATGACCACGTCAGAATAAACACTTGAAAATTCGCACAACTACGCCCTCGGCTTCCGACACGTCGGCAACGTCCGCATCCTAGTCCATCACTGCGAACCAGGCCAAATATGTGTCATTTCGCCGACGCCTAAGGCTGTAAAAAGCCATACCATTCCACACACTGTTAGCGGCAGTTCTTGACCTTCCTCACCCTTGGCCGCCATCGCGTGGAACCGACCGACTAGCAGTACTACATCTTGCTTAACTTTAGTGCCGTACACACGGCCAGCGCTTTATAAGGGTTTGGAACGTGATATCAGCAGTGTCATATTTCACACACTTGACCAAGCCGCCAATCAGCAAGGACCAAGAGTCATTTGCTATCAGGTCGCGTCATACTCGTCAAGGGCGTACATGGAGCGGTCAGACTCGTCACGCCCGCCACAAATCCGCCGGGGCACCGCTTCTGGCTGACAGCTAGCAGCAGCCAGCCCATGACAGGGGCTAACCCACGACCTTCTAAAGCACAACACGAACTGAGCCGCGCACGGCATGAACAGGGCTCGGCAACAGGAACCTTCCCGCCCTATCGTAAAAAGCCAACGCTCAAAACACAGCGTGCGTGACAGCTGCACAGTTTGCGCTGTGGGGGGGGGGGGCGGGGGGGGGGGGGGGGGGCGCCGGCTCTGAGACAACACCCTCCAGGTGCCAACGCTCGGCGGTCGGCAGAAGCCACGCAGGAGCCGCACATCCCCTGGCCGTCGAGTCCGCGGCGTCTGCAAGGTTTAGAGGTCGGCGTGACGTTGCGTCGCCGTCCCCAGTGACGTCCCTGGCCGGCCCGCTGCGGGCGCCGCTCGCAGTGTTTCGAGATATTTGAGATACGATGGCTGCTTTCGCGGCGAGGGTTCGCTTTTTAATCAGCATTCTAACTTAAACGGTCATTCACCATTTGACCCGCCACAGTTTGCCCCGTCACGTCCTGAATCAGGAGTCTGTGTATTCTGTCACATTGTGTTTGTGTATTCCATCACCTATTGTTTGCGTACTCCGTGGCATCTCGATCTACGGCCCTTAGCATGCCGATCGACTGGGCTTCAGCGGAGGCCGGTTCACCTCCGCTGCGTTAATAACGCCGCGCCGCCTGAGACGGCCACCGACGGCCACTGACTGCGCGGCCAGAGTCGTCACGCCCCACCGCCGCGGGCCGTCGCCACCGCGGCCCGTACAGCCAGCGGACGGAAGCACGGCCCTCGCCTCCAGGACCAGCGAACTGGCAGCCCGCCCGTCCAGAGCCTCCACACGCGGCGGGGATACAATGGACCCAGCTGTAAAGAACGATCAAGAAATCCTAAACAAACCAACTCGATGAGCGGGCATGGTGATGAGGAGGCGCGGTGATGGGGAGGCGTGGTGATGAGGAGGCCGGCTCGCTGATGAGAACAGCTCACTGAGCTACGCCTGAACGGCACGGGACGCTACAGAGTAACACGCGAGTCCTCGTTGGTCACGAGGAAGTTTCCGCAAACGCTGCTCCACCTTGCCACACCCAGTGCGGTGCGTGTCCATCGAATAGGAAAAAAATCGTCGGAACAAATAATCGTATCACAGAAAAAACAAGGTTTCTTCGCGTTTTATATGTCTGAAAAGCCCACAGCCAGTTCACCGTTACACAGGGACGCGGCGGGATGACAATGCTCCGCCCCGGACCTTAGCAAGACCCAAGTCGCACTCCGCACGCTTTGACGGCTCAATAGTCAAGCGTAGGTGATGAGTTACTGACCTGTCTGGCGCAGCGGGAGCGGCAGGCCAGACGTCTGGACGAGCCCCGAGTCACCACTAGACAGGCAGGCGGCGGCGCCCGGACCCCAACCGTCTGCGGCACGGGAGCCCACCGGCGGGAAGCCCCACAGACCGGCTCGGGGGGGGGGGGGGAGGGGATGGCAGGGGAAGCTGAGACAGGAGGGACCGGCTCACCGTCCTTCATCCCCCATAACGAACAGTGCTAGGCGTTTTCTGGCCGGCTTGCCGATAAAGCGTCGTGTAATGGGCATGCTACATCCTGCCTATCGGAGCGGCGGGCGTGGAAGTTCCTTCCACCTTAGTCGTACATAAAGCTGATCCTCAGAAGGCATACCTGGGTACACAAACAGGTCGCCTCGGTCTCCACAAGCGACCGCCTCGCTTTGCAGTCCTCTAAATCAGCGCACAGAATACCCAAACACAGTGCCGAATTATACCAGTCGAGCATTGTAAAATAATGCAAAAAAGCATGAAGGAGCCGTGATGACGCGTTAACGGCCATGCCGTGAGTCACTTAGGCTTCGGGGAACGGGCAGGACAAAAGTAATACCAGCATCTAGTTCCGGAAATCGCACATTGTTTTACAAAAGGACAAAGCGCAATGGGCCCCCACAGTCGCCTGGCATGAGCCCGCCAGACATATTTGCAAGTCATGCAAGCAAGTATTAAAGAGATTGGCTGACGGAAAGACTACTTTTGGGTGGAGCCAGGGCATCACTCTGCCGCTTCATCATTAGGGAAATGAGGGCATTGATGGTGGGCTCCCAGCCCCGTCCGCGAGACCTGGCCGCTAAGCAGAAGATGCCGGCCAGCTCGTACACA